TAGTTTTCTTTTTCATTTTTCCATCTCTAAGCATCTAAGCAATATCTGTCAATGTAAAACAAAATAATTGTGCATATACGACCAGTACTTATGTAGCACACTGTTAAATTTACACTCAGACAAAAACAGATAGACAGGCCGACACACCTACAGCGGATGTGACAAATTTTTATTTTCTTCTCAGTCGGAGTCCTGACGCAGTGGCCTTGACAGTGGCCACTGCCTGTAGGTGTCTTATTACTGGCCCAGATCAGTTCCAACCTGTCTGACTATAAAACACCTTCAGCAAGATTTTGTGTCTGCAGTACTGCTGGATGAGTCCTCTTACTAAACCTATATATCTAAACGTATACAGTCTGAGCTTTATACATTTATACATCCCAGAAGATTAAGAAACACATATTAGAACACACATTACTCAAGATGTGCTGCAATAGTTTGTAGAAATCTGATTGACATTTTCTTCTCCTTTAAGATGGTAAACATCACATCACACAATCTGGATATAATATCATAGTAAAGTTAAAAGTTTGTGCAATCTTCTCTTTCATCTCAGTCCTGTTTGCTTCATCATCTGCCTCTCTTGCTTGTACCAGCACTGCTGTCTTAGTTTTCATGGTGATTTAGCAATTAAATGTCCTACCTCTGGTGCCCTTGGGTCTTTGGCATTTTCTAACTAAATACTAAAGAGGCAAAAAGCACGACAGCAAAAATACTGAGACAGTAATGCAATTAAACTACACAAACTGAACCAGAAGGCTCCACTTTCTCATTTAAAAATGTATTTTTGTTATTTGGCGTCATTAAACCTAATAACCTCAGTTGTGCAAGGCAGTGCCCCTCAGGTAAGACAACACAGTACTTCCTGAATCTAGCTATATGCTCACACAGACAGGTCCAGAAGTCTTATAAATACAATGCAAATACAATTTTATATAGTATATCATTGTCATATTATTAACACGCAAGCAGCTGATTACTATAATTTGTCTAAATTCTGGCTTTATTTGATAGTGTTACGCTCCCTCTAGTGGTCACTGTTGGATGACATAAGTTCAAATTCAGTCTTAGATGCTGGTGAAATGCAGCGAGTGTGCAATTAAGCATTTTTCTCTCAGTAAAGTCTAAAAAATATATTGTTGTGACTGTAAAATAAATTAATGCATTGACTATTAACTGTTGCCTCACACATCACGAAGGTCCAGAGTTCCACTCCACCATCTGGCCACCATCCGTGGCCTTTCTGTGTGGGGTTTGCATGTTCTCCCACAGTCCAAAGACATCAAAGTAGTGAGGTTAGGTTAACTGGTAATTCTAAATTGTCCATAGATGAGAATGTGTATCGTTATATGTGCTAGCCCTGCGTCAGATTGGCAACCTGTCCAGGGTGTACCTGCCTCTCGCCCTATGAAAGCTCAGATATTCTCTAGCGCCCCCCTGAGAAGGATAAGGTTAAGCAAAGAGAATGGATGATGGATGGATGGATAGATGGATAGATGGATGGTTCTTTTGTAAATTGTTTTCTTGATTTAAAAGATTTAAATATGTTTAAAAAACTATCCTGCTTGCTCATGCTAGGTTCTTTGTATAGTTACAGCAAAAGGAATAAAGAGTATATTTTACATGTCTAGACAAGCACATCTAAACAACCAACAGATTTTCAGCCCCCAAAAATCTGTAAAGTAGAAAAATTAAACCCAATTAAAAATGATTGCTGCTAGCATTCATAAATGAAACCGATCCAGTATTACATATTTGTGAGGGAGAAAAGAATGGGACACTTAAACGAAACTAACTACTAACTGGTTCAGATAAGGGCTGATCATTCCTGCACGTTAAGTTGGAGTAAGCTTTGCCAATATTGCTCATATGCTCATATCCCCCTAAACTCAGGAATGAGGAATGTACATGAGGTGCCTTTCCTCCCTACTGTGTGCTTCAAATCCCTCCAAAACATTTTGGATATTTTGGAGAAGGGTTACAACTTTGATCTCACGTTTGCAACATACTATCTTTATTCTTCTTCTCTGGCCATTCTTTGGTATGATACCTTACTCACTTAATGATTACAAGCCACCGTGGCCCAGATGCAGCAAAACAGACTTTCTTCTTACAGCCCTTTAACTGTTTAGAAGTAATTAGGAGCTCCTTTATGGCCTCCCAGACTATTACACGCATCATTCTTATTGTGATCTTTGTTGTTTCGACTCTTGGGAGGGTAGCAATAGTTTTATATTTACTTGATTAGTACACAGTCTTTCTGACGGTATGTTGTAGGAGGTCGAAATCTTCAGAAATGGTTCTGCAAATATTTTTAGTCTCAAGATAATCAATTAACATTTTTTCTGAAGTGCTTTCAAATCAAACCCATGATTCATTTTCTTGATTGTGTTATGAAGTTCAGACTGTCCAGAACATTCCAAAGATTTCCAAAGTCTAATATTTTTGACACATTTGGTTTACTTAGCTTTCTTTATCTTACTTTGTATCTTGTATCATAAAATAATAAAAAAGGTCAGTTGATATTTTAACTGATATTTATGTAGATATACAGAATATCTCAAAGGAGTCACAGACTTTTCTTCTGCAGCTGCTTTCTTCTACCGTGGCTGCTTATTTATTCATGTGATCAGTTGCATTTGAAATCTTCTACTTGGAAACACATGGTTTAGTTGTTACAGTTTATTACACAATAAAGTTGAGAGAATTTTCAAGGAGAATGTACAATTTATCTTTTAAATTAATACATACTTACTGAAGTGTACCTGTAATATTAAAAGAGGTAGATACCAAACAGGTTTTAATTTCTATTCTGGGCTTAAACTGTATATTTAAGTCAAGCATCAAGTCTTTATTTGGTCGCTCATGTTAGCTATCTGTCCAGTTTATACTGACTTGTCAGAGAAGCACTGAGAAACACGAGTAAATCTGACTCTAATTACAACAGAGTATTTCATTTAATGAATGTGTTTCTTAGATTCATTCTCACTGTGTACAGGAAAATTTCAGAAGTATGCTAAAAACCTTTGCCAAACAAGTAAAGAACACATCTAAAATCATGATTTTAAACAATGAAAATGATTACTTGCAAATCTTAAAAGATCAGCACAAGATTCTTTTGATACGCAGAGGATTAGAGAACAGTGGAATGGCTTTAAAATTGCTTGTGATAAGGAAAGCTAGATCCACCCAGTGCAACTGATTGGTCAGCAGATGGTAGTTTTATAAGCACTGGTCTGCTGCTAACTGCTACCTTGAAAAGCCAGGGTTGCCTCGCTAACCCCAAATCCTGCTTCGTCACTCAACTTACAGACTGTTTAAGAGAGGTGAAGTATTATGCAAGTTCTCTTCAGTGTACGGTAGCAGATGCAGAGAGAAATTCATCAAACTGGCAGCTCTAATTTTCTCCACAGAGAGGGCAAACTCAGTGAATGATTACAGCCAACACAGATGGCATACCCTGCCTGCCAGAGGTAGTTGGAGTTGGATATGATCCTTCAAATCAGTGGTGATGTGTGAGCTACAACCCACAAATATGGGAGACATTTGTGTTACTAATAACATTTGGCATCTATTCTGATATATATAAAAAGAAGAAAAACAGCACTGTCACTGTATCAGTGATAGCCACAGCTTGACCAGGAAAAGCTGAATATGAGCTTGCAAGAACAAAGCATCTCTCTCTTTCTTTAAATGACACGTTTGCAGAAGGATTAGCAATTAACATTCTTGATTGACAGGTAGCATTTTTAACAAAAACAAACAGAAAAACAGAGTCCTCTTTGTGAATATGCAACATTTTCAAGACATTAAGTGGTAAATATTCTGACAGAACAATTATAAAAAGGACCCTCCTGGCAAATTGTTGAGGTAATTTATTTATGTCCACATACACGTGTCATCCAGTTTGTGGATAATTATTTAAAAATAAAAGAAAGAAAGAAAGAAATCAGACTGTCTAAAGAAATCTGCTCCAAGTGATTTATATAAGAAAAAGAGTTTTTTCAGCAAGCCACTTGACATACAAGATAAACTGAATAAGTGAAGACAAGATGTCACTTGATCTATTTCAATTCAGCACATCCCACCCATCATTATCTCCGAAATACTTCCAGCACTAACAAAAGACCGCTTAAAGGCTACATTTTAACATCAGAACCTACAATCAGATAGGCCTTCAGCAAGCTTTTCACAGCTGGCTTTGACTAAAAGGCTAGAAAAATGCAAACATTTCGAATCCCTAGACCAAAGTTAGACACATGCACTATCAAGGAAGAAGGCATTATTATACAGTAGCATACAAACTAGGAAAGAGAACAGGGTGGAATTTTCCATCCAAAACCCTTTTAGGTTCAGGGGCTCTGCCTGGGCCATAAACGGGTCTACTCCGAGGTGGCTAGCCCCCAGGGACCTCTTTAGAAATGACTTGTGTTTGTCAACCAAAGAGAGGCGGACCAGTGGAAAATTACCAGTCCCGCACTCAGTCACGCAAGCACACATGCACACACACAAACACACACACTTGATCAGGACCACCTGTAGCCACATATCTACCTCTCTCAATGGTTATGTGACAGCTTGCGTTTTTAATGGGTGAGGGTGCGGGGGGCATGGTTGCGTTGTCAGGACGCACCAACCCGCAAACTACGCAAACGATGACACTGGATGATGTTCGCATCCATGCACATTTCCAAGAAAATATCCGCGACATGTCTAGTGTGCGACGTGTGACTGTGGGTGTGTGAGTGAGTGCACAGTGAGCAGCTTTAAAATGCTCTAAGCGAATGAATCCACGTATGAGTGCTGTGTTAATGTTTGCAACCCACATATATCTAATATGCTGGTCTACTGGAGCACAGAGAAATGGATGCTTCAACAACGATTCCCAGAGGTGCCCTGTCATGTACATTTGCACCTGATGCAAAGAGATGAGAATACCAAAGAAACTAATGCTGCATTCAGAGTTTAAAAGCAGAACAAGATCCAAACTAATGCTTTACCTGAGTTCCAAGGCAGCTCACCATCATGTGAGTGAGCAGTTTGGCAGCAAACATGGGGAAACGGGAGCACAGCACATGGGATATTATGGCCAATGCAAAGCCTGTAGACAGAGAAGTCAGCATTAATGATACTTAATTAAGTGATTTATTTGAATCCATTTATACAAGTGGGGATGTACATATGGAAACTCCACAAGGAGGGTAAGAAGATGAGAACTCAAGGGGAGAGTGTGTTGTACCTGAGATACAGATAAATCCTGAGGCAAAGAAGGCTTTATTGTAGGATGCAAGCTTTGCAAACTCAGCGTGGGCTGCGTAGATAGACAAGTGCGTGCATGCACACTCAACATAATTCCCACTTTCTTCCACAACCCTGCAGTATTGACCATTTGATGACCAGCTAAAGGGAAGACAAAAAGAGACAAAAAGAGACAATAAGAGACGAGACACTACAACATAATATAACAAAATATGAGCAAAGCAAATACAAAGGGCAATGAGTCTAACCATGCCCATGATTGTGTGCTTTTGTTCTCTGACATTTTGGCTTCTTTGAGTTTGTTTTATTATTATCTACAGTAACCTTTACTTTGCAAAGAATGTGTGAGACAAACCAGAGCATAACCATGTTTGTGTTAGATTCACTGTTACTGTGATTCTGACTCTCTCTCTCTCCATATTTTGCTCTCTCTTGGTATCACTTGCATAATAAATTTTGCTTCCTGGGGTACGTCCTCCAAGTAGCTGCTCTGTCCAAACCAAACCTGCCAAAAACACTGTGTTCCTGCCAAGTCCAATTTCAATCCCCAGGAATGTCCTCAACAAAGTAACTCAATGTGGGATGATTCAGCATGCAGGAGACTGAATGTGTAGATATAAAGGAGAAAGATACGGCATCAGCCACAGAGAGGCCTTATTGAGAGGACAAACTAGGAACTCTGCCCTTTATTTAGCAAACTATTACCCAAAATAAGTATAAGGAAGACAAACAGAGGCCTTCTTTAGATGCTAATCAAGCCATGTGTAGTCTTAAATAAGGAAAGCAGTACACTGGTTGAGCTAAATTACGTCGAGTAAAAAATAAATTAGTAGGCAGACACTAGAACTAGAAAAAACCTCAGCAACTGATATTATCAGGTAACAAAAATAAATGGAAATATTTGTATATAAATAAAAATATACATCTGATATTTTTGTATATAATGTGCACATTCTATTTTTAGTCTATCTGAGAAACAGTTAAGCTTGAATCTCATTTAATGTGTTTTTGTTACCTTCCAGTGGTCTGGTTCCAGAGAAGGCACTGAGACTGGCCTGGTTTAACCTGCTGACCGGGGCTGTGGATACGATACACCACCTCGTTGCCATCTTCCAGAGGTCGTGACCCTCTGCCCTGGAGACTGGCTGAGAATACCTACGTATAACCAGATACAACAGAAGACGGTTCAGTTGCAGAGCAGCCACCAGATTAATGGCTGCTTTATATCAGAGCCATACTGCCACCTGCTGTTTAAAAAAAGAAAAGGAGATTTTGACATTTTAACAATTGCTCATGATTTTTCAATGAAGTCAGTGTCCCAGCACCTACTTTCCCATTGAGAGCAGTAGCTGCATCACTGGTGCGAAACCAATGTTCATTTCTAAACTCGGTCAGCTGCATCCTGTTGAGGTTGCCGCAGTCCGCAGTTAAAACTGCTGGTACTGGCAGCAGAGTATTTGGGAGCTGGAAGAAGTCTGCATTACGGCCCCTGAACTTGTATCCATTAATTTCTGTGGGGTACCACTGGAAGGCAGAGATGTTCATATACGGACAAGTTTCCAGGACTGTAACCTTTCTGGAGAAAAATTTTACAAAGAAGAAATTGTAAATCCAAGCACGATTTAACATTAATTTGTGAGGTAATATTCATCTGTATTACAATAAGGTGTACCATGCAACTCTTCACTCATTTAGAACATTTAGGACACTCACATCTCACACTGACTATGTTTAAGGAGGGAGAATGCAAATCGCTCCGCCACCTCAGCAAGGTGGCTGACACCTCGAGTGTCGACTCGACTGGGATTGGCCAAGGCACACAACAGGTTATAGGTCAAATTCCGGCTGTTGTTCTGTAAAGGAGCTCTTTCTGCCTCTGCAAGCACCTGGCTCAGAAGACAGAAAGGATGAGAAAGACTGAGGAGCTCTGAGTAAACTTTAGTGCTGTTATTCACACATCACTCACCTGAGTTACTTTCTTTAGTTTGACCTTCAGGGTCATGCGCATTGTGTGTGCTCAGAATCCATTTTTCTCTGTAGTCCCTACTTCTTATTTACTCTTTCTAAACATGTCCCTGTATATTCTGTTTATTCTTTTGTGCAGCTGGTTAAGAAGATGCAATAAATAGATTCTAATTTCAACTTCATGATAGCAGCAATCTTCTTAAGTGAGAACTAATGAATGGCAGACTGGTCCACAGAGCTATCAAAGTAGCTCATGGGAGGCGATGTATGGTCTTTAACTAAGCTGACAGACACAAACAACTACACTGACTCACAGTCACATGCAATCACATAGATTATCCAATATTTTATACACTTATGCAGTAATTTAAAAAAAAATTTGCTTGGTATAAAAACCAGATGATTGGGCTTACCTTTCCCAGACCTTCAAACACAGCGATCATCTGCTCATTATTGAGAGGTGGACTGACTTTATCTATTAGTCCCTGCAGCACCAGGTCCAATGTAGGAGTTTCAAGGGGTTGATGCAACTGGTCCAGTAAGACCCAGACAGCTTCACTTGCTGCATTTGACACCAGAGTCACATTAGCCAGGCCAAACTGGGAGTGTACTGTGGCACCTCCTGTTGGATTGTATAGCTCCACTTGGAAGCGCTTAGGTGTGGGTAAGGATGAGGCACGGTCAGGTGTTAGGTAAATCTCCAGTGATGTGTTACGTTTGCCCACATCAAAAGTCAGCTGGCCCTCCTGCTTAGGGAAGTCCATCCCTGCTTCAGCAGGCCAGATTATAAATGGACCCACCACCTCTTCTCTGGAAAGCTCCTAGAAGAAGAAAAAGAAATAAAAACATGCTAAACTCTGCTGGACTTAATTAAAGGAGCAAGTGAAGAATGGAGTTATATAACCACCATCATATTTAAAGAAATGTATGAAAGGTGACACCACATATAAAGTTTTCAGCTGAAAAGAATGAACAAATCATACATTAAACTTGTAAAGGCACAACTTCCATTTGGTATACAATGGTCTAAATGCAAATAAAGCCCAGTGAAGTTGCCCATGATAATTAGGCTGAAATCAACCAAAATGTGAACCAAATGGGGACTGGGCTTTTATTATTCAGCAAACCTGGTGTCTCACAAAATGCTTTGAGAGATGAAAGCGGATGACCCAGCCGTGTGAGGTTTTTGATTTTTTTTAGAGTGCACTCAACAATCTTTCATCTCCACTTTCAAAAAGTACAAGCACCAGTAGATACTTTACGCCTTGGGGCTATGTGCAGATATCTTTAATCATAATCCCTCATAGAGAAGGAGGGCGATGATGAGATTAAAGAGGTGAGGAGAGGGAGAAAACTTTGGTCTCTGTCTGTGTACTTCATCAATAAACCATTACGTATATTAAAATATATAAAAAGCATTCATGACAGACAAAATAAGAGGCAACAAAACAAATTGTATTTTTGTAGTTGGGAAAAAAAAGCTTAGATAAAAGCTCATAATAACAAACTCATGCAGAAGACTGAAAAACATTAATATAATAAGTCTTGGTGCTTAATTGCTCAAAATGGCTTAAATAATAAAAAATAGATCTGTACACTATGATGTCTATTAAAGTCAAGGTCTTAAAGTCAGCTTAACTGGTCCAGAAATACACAGTTAAATATTTTTCTGGTGTTACGATTTCATTTCAGTAGGTAAATAGTGTAAAACATATTTGCTTATATAGGAAATATCTGTTACACAGAGTGGTGATAGCATGACACGTTCAAGGTAACAGTGAATGAGCAACAACTGGACTTAAATACATAAATAGCCCTTTTTGAACTAGAAGTCATAGTCATACCTTTCATTCACACCCAAATGCATTGGGGACAATCGAAGGTTCAGTATCTTGCCCTTTGACGTGTGGACTGATAGCATTGGGGACTGAAGCACTGATTAGTACGCATAGCCACAGCTGCCCAACATAAATGATTCCATGTTGGTTAAAGACCAAACCAATCAGCTGCATATACACTGCAAAAACTCAAAATCTTATCAAGTATATTTGTCTTGTTTCTAGTCAAAATTTCTCATCACACTTAAAATACGAGAAATCAGCTACAGAGTAACATTTCAGTGAGATATAGGAACTTGTGAAAAAGTCTTGAAAACATATTGTTTTATTTTATTGTTTTATTTTTTGTACCTTTTAACATTTCACAAAGTAAACTTGTTTTGTATTATGAACACATGTTTTTGTTGGCTGGTTAGAGTTGCATGGATCGCAGATTTATCCGTTTTTTGAGAATATAAGCTGCTGACTGGTGAGCAGAATTTTCAGCTTGGTACGTTAGTGTTCATCAGTTAATCATCAAACATATTTAGTGCTTATAACAAATATATTATGCTAAATAAAGACAGATTTTTCCACAATGTATATGATAGTAAGAGTTAGTAAACCTCTATTAAAGTCTCCCTCTGCAGTCTGTTGTTTCTTAGATTCAGCATTGAAACTGAATTTAAAACAAAACATAGATGACATTCTGTCGCCTCATCAACCACCAAGATCTCACTGCCTACAGACATTCAGTAACTCTCATTGGATAATGTTAATAAATATCTTTCACTAAATATGAACGTTTTCTACCTGTCCTTGTTTAAATTATGAAAGAAGTTATTATGCCTGAGAATCTCTAGAATGTCGAATACTTTCCACTAAACAGTTGTCTACTACTTTGGTTAGTTTTTTTAACAACCATTTAAAAAACATATTTTGCTTTAGTTTTATTTTTTACTGCAATTCCTGTAGAGTAGCTTTTATAGTGTTAGTTCAGTATGTGCTACAAAATAAAAGCCTTTCCTTTCCATTAGGTTTGTGGGCATTTTATTTTGAATTGTTCCAATCATGGCACTTCAAAGGAACAGCGCATCACAGGAACAGCCTGTGATGTCACTGTGCACATTCTACTGAAAACCCTATAAATAGGGGAGACATTCAACCAACTTCAGTGGATCTCGGATGGCAGACACACAAAACAACCTGGTTGTTAAAACAAAGACAAGGCAGACGCAGAGAAACGCAGACGCAAACGCTGACGCATCTACAATGGCAGAAGCAAAAAAAGCTGCACAACCAAATACTGAAAAGTCTCCTGTGGCACAACCACCAAAGGAAACGGTTGTGAAACCAAAGAAACAACAAAAGCAAAAACAGAAAAGAGTGGCTGAAGAACCAAGAAGACCAATTACTCGGGCATATGCCCGGGCTCTTCTTCAAGCTCAAAACAGCACGGGTGATGGAGCAAACCCGAAAAATGAAGAAGTGCAAAAAAACACTGAAGCCACTCCTGAAAAAGAAAAGGCTGAATCCCTCCCCATTTCGAATGCAAAGGAGGACATGGAGAGAGAG